GCAATTTGTAATCCTGCATGAGTAAAGCAAACATTGCAAAATAATTCGCCTGTTCCTAAAAATTATTCTAATATCTTTTGTCATATTTAAAATTAAAATGGGTGATTGATGTGAAACCTGTCTATATATAATTGAAGGCACACGATTCTCGAATACTCGATATCGTTTTTTATCTCCTATCGCGATAATTTAATGTAACCGACATACGGTCTCGGCTTTTCGGCGGTATTAATTAAATTGTAATGAACACTTGTTTCAGGGTTGCGAGGAGAATCCATCTCTGTGGGGAACATGCGGAAAAATGGTAAGAGTATATGTTGCGGAATTCAAGTTAACGCATGGTTGAGTATACATAGTGTCATGGTCGTAAATTGTATATGTATTATTAAACGAATTGTTATGTAAATGTTAATAGTTGTAGTATCATATAGCATAGGAAATGGAAGTTTTAAAGGAAGCACGTAGTAGCAACCGTGAAACCAAACGCGAAGGTACTAATCCCGCCTGGAGATTAGAAATTACACCCAGGTATTCTGACAGAACATAGGCGAGTCCAAAGTTGCCCAAATGTCATGGACGTTCAATGGTCATGGTAGTTGTGCGCATGCGCGAAATTTGAACGAAGAAAGAACGGCCGTCTACAACTTGCTGATTGGCTAAGACAAAAAGAGAGCATGCATTAAAGCGTCAGCATTTTAACCGTCATTTTGCAAACTCTTTTTTAAAAATATAAAATGAAATCATGGAGTCAAATATTAAAACAATAATAAAAGATTTAAAGATCATCACTTCACAGAAACAGTTGGAGAAATAGGAACGACTCGTAGTTTATAATCTTTGAAGTGGTAGGTGTCTATATTTTGCTTATTCAGTGTTTGCTCTATATAAGAATGCATTTTTATTTTGACAAGTACGAGCTTGGTATGTCGTTTTACAAGGAGCTAACCGACCGTTTAAGGCTTTACATCATCGCTTAAACTTTGAAAAGAGTTCTCAAAAGTGTACTTCAGTGTTTCGATAAAACAAATATCACTTGGCAGCTTATATAATCGCTAAAATCATTGAATAAAATAAATAATCGAAAAACAACATTCGCTACAGCGAGAGATTCCTTAATACCTCGAGGGTCCGTCGAACATGATATGGCTCTCATGGTTTCTCCAATTAAGATTGCTCGTTTGGAGACAATAGACCCGTGACTATCCCATGGCATAATGGATCTGCTATGTATGGATTTAATATAAAGCCTGGTGGGAAATGTTTTGGACTCAGGGTCAAACGAAACGAGTGTATCCAAAAAGGGTAGTTTGTTATTATGAGGTATTTCCATAGTGAATTTGATGTTGTCACTTGAGCTATTGGCTATCGTTAGCAATTTCTGCGCCGATAAACAACCAGATAACAAGACTACAAAATAGTCGTCAATATATCGTTTGAGGATAATATGGCCTTCGGCTTGACTGACAATTAAAGAATCAAGTTCATTTATATATATTATCGCCATGGATGGTGCCAGGTTATTATTCATAGCCAGGCCTGATTTTTGTTTATAACTTTCATCGCCAATCAATACGTTATCACTCGTAAAACATAAACGAACTAGTGTCTCGAAGTCATCATCTTCCAAGGTGCGCAGCTCACAAAAGACCAATAATATCTGTCATACGACGCTCGGGGATTGAAAATGTGAAAGCTTGTTTTGTGAATGGCAAACCATTGGAAGATAATGAATGGTTGCAGCGGGAGAGTCATTAATATATATAATTTTTTTTCTTTAGATTTTTCCATTCAAAATACTCGTCTGAAAAAATGTTTATCGGCCAGAAGCGATGATATCCTTGTAGGAAAGCCCTGTGACCCAAATGACCCAAAGCAAATATGGTCGTGGATAAATGAAGGAAATCAACTGATGAACAAACACTCGTGTAAATGCCTGGATGTTGAAGGCGAGATTAAATCACATAGCCTGGTGCGCGTTTCCTGTTGTGATAAGCGTGTGTTTGGCCAGCACTGGTCATGTTCTGAAAAATTCGTTATGGTCGGTGGAACCACATTGAGCTTACATATGTATAAGTGGGCTCATAATCCAATTTCTGTACGTAATAACACCGGCGTTTGGGCTCAGTGGAAAATATTTCGTAAAACAGAAAACATATGTGCTGCAAGGCCGTGAGGTAATGCAATCCTCGTTACCAGGGTCTTTTGTTAATTCCTGAAGTTTTTATTACTCCTGAAAAGTATTTGATATAAAAAATGTAAGGGAATAAAAATTTCACTCAAAGTCAATAAGATATCATATCTATAAAAATATGGCTTCATTAATAAGGTACTTTAAATTTAATTTATTCTGGGTCTGCGACTGGTGGCTTAGGCGCTTATTAGCGTAGTCAGGGCCCTAACCAACTAAACTAGTGTGCGATTTGATCTTATATCTGGAAAGTCAACCCAAAGAAGTAGTAATTGGAATTTGTTTGTTAGTTTTAAATGGTCAATAAAAAAAGGTGTCGTCGGTAATTTGTAATCTAATTTTAACTTTTGGTAGAATTTTATGAGCGATGTGAGTTTGGGAGAGGATGATTTAACCAGAGGGGTTAATTACACGCATTTATTTAACTGTGTGAATGAAGCAATCTGATTAGCTGAGAAGATACAAAATTCCAGCCTGCTGTGGAACGCATCCGGCCGCTGTGGAAATTGTAAACAAAACGACAAAATCAAAGTAACCTACGGTTAAAATGTCTGAAAACCTTCCTGGCAAAGGCTAAAAGACTGGCAAAAATAAAAAAAAAATAAAAAAAACATACCTGAAAAACTTCTTAGTTTGGATTTTTTACGCCTTTTTTCGCCTGTCAATGCGTTGTTTTTTAATTGCTTTGCCGTGATTTAGTTGCAATCGTATTTAGAAATCAACATTAATGGCAGCATATATAAGGATCGCCAACAAATAGCAGAACATTTGAACGACTACTTTGTTAATATCGGCCGGACCCTTGCTGCTAAATGACATAATGAAGAACTCCACCGCAATTCAAATGAGGCAAATTCAAAATTTCATTTCCACATAATCACTGGGTCCAACATTCTGAAAAACCTCAACAATCTAAAAACATCCAAGGCAACCCGGGTTGACGGGATCCCTGCAAGAATATTGAAATTATCTAGCAATATTATTACCTCATACCTGACTTACATCTTTAATCTTTCAATTTTTTCTGGTATATTTGTTGACGATTGGAAAATAAATATAAATCAGAAGATAGAACGAAATGTGGGAACTACCGCCCAGTATCAATTCTTCCCAAAATAAGTAAACTATTGATTGTAAAATCTTACTAAAAAGTTGCACGAGCTATTTGGCGTTCAAAATTTGAAGCTGCAGCGGTTCGAATCTTTAGTTGGCGAAACGCAGTCAAGTCTGCGTGGTTGATGGCTATACATCTTCAGTCAAAGAAATTATACGAGAAGTCTCACTGGGATCTATTTTGGGACCCCTCATGTTCTTATTATAGAAATGATTTGCCAGAACTCCTGGCATGTACGCCGATGATACTCAGGTATATGTGTCTTCTCCAAGTTTCTCAGAACTAATAACAAAACTTAATCAGGATCTAGAAAATACAGTCAAATAGCTTCCCAAAACAAATTACAGGTTCATACAAAAAAAACAAAAACAGTGTTTATAGGATCTTTTTATAATTTGAGAGTTGGAGTTGGGAATGATCTAGTAATGATTAATGATAAACCTGTTACTCGCTACTCCTCTTCTCGTTGTTTGAGAGTAGAACTAGACGGAAAGATGAGCTGGGATAAGCATATAGATGCAACATTGAGAAAAGTTGCCTCCGGCATTGGAATTAATAATAGAATAAAACAATTTGTACCGTACGAAACATTACAAAATTTGCATAATTCTCTCGTGCTCCCATATTTTGATTATTGCTCTCCTTTATGGGATCATTGTGGAAGCTTACTCATTGAAAAATTGCAAAAACTACAAAATAGGACGCCAAGAATTATGACAAGGGCCAACTACGATGTTGGACGAACAGATTTGCTCCATACTATATGTCGTGGAAGAACCTGAATGATAGACATAAAATGAACAAGACGCCTGTTCTAGCGTTAACTTTGGCGTGTCGCGCACGTGCCAATCTTCAATATAATGCTTCTGAACATAAACAATACAATTCATACTCATTTAGATGCCTTACGGAACCTAAATGTTGTTTGATCGCGACATTCAGAAGCACATCGTACTTTAAAAAGTACAGAAGTTCATTTGTTTAAAAATGTAAATAAACCGCATGATACGTTTACTTTGTCTGCTTTGTCTTGGAACTCGTGCTTATATTAAATCTTCAATCCTGTGCATATTAACTGCGACATAACGGCGAGAATCTACATGTATTAAATATGTTCTTACCCCAATTGAATCTAAATTTAATCAAACAGCTTCAAAAGAATTTTATTTTATTAAAGGTTTATTTTTTCCGCTTGGAGGAATTGCCTTACCATGCGAGCGAAATCGAATCGCGCATCGCAAAATTAGTCAGAGATATCAAGCTGTGCACCACAACTCTTGGGAGACGAAACTGTGACGTAGATAAATACGGTCACATACACTATTCTAACATGGCGGATTTCGTGCTTTTGCCCATGTGCAGAAGCTCTGCTGACGCCACATGGTTCCTTTTGGTCATGGTATTTACCATGGTATTCAAGGTACAAAAATTACCTAAATAATATGAACAAGCTTCATTTCGTATTTTTCAAAGAAATTGGAACCAATAATTAGAATTTGCACCAAGCCCCGGAAAGTCTGTTAAAGAAAGTTTTTTATTTCATTTATTGCATATTATAATATGAAACATGGAAGTCTACAAAACAGTTAACCTGTCTGTTAATCATTTACCGCCACTAAACAGTCATTTGTACTATTGGAATATTAACTCTATAAAAATTCAAAACAGTACGTTTCATGCAACTGATGCAAGTTCTACTCAGTAACAACCGTACAACTCTAGTCTCATTGTAGCATAGTTTTTCCATGATTTCGGTAACACACGAATATATTGAGCTCTGATTTCAGTCTTAAATGTGTTGGTGACAATGGAGTTTCGATCTTTGTTTCCTTGAAACACCTACAAAAACGCCAGATTTAGTTTTATTAAAATTATTGAACTTCAATGAATTATATGTAATTCTTCTCCATGTGACTAGTATAGGGCTGCATTTGTCCACAGGGTTTGGACAACCGTTTAGCACTTAATTAGACCCTGTGGAAATATTCGTTTTATGGTTTAAACACAAAAGTCAAGTCCTCCGAGCTGCCATGGTAATTCCACGTTGACACAAAAAAACAAATAGTCCCTTTGAAATATTCTAAAATTACTACTGAGATAATTCGATATATAATCACCATGCACATGCATACGTCATTATATTATAAGGTAGGTAATTATACGACCCACTTTTTACCACATTTGAGATTTCGTTAATTTAGCATGAGGGCAGCCACAGCCAATCATAAATATACGTTTTGTTTATTTGTATTTTGATTACCTTCACAGTGCCTGACTCTTTATAATCAGTCCAACTATTACTATTGTTGCTGTAAGCAATCGAGTAAGAGGTCACCCATGCTTGAGCGTTATAACATGTTCCTTGAGTTGCAAATCCTGTGATAGCTGTCTTTTGTCCAAGATCAACTTGAAACCACGAGCCAGCTCCAAGACCTGGTGTCCAAGAACAAGAACTGCCAGTCTTATTCAATCTTGCGAAGTAAGGGAAATACCAAGAATTAAAAAATGATGATGCTGCGATTGACGAATCGGATATTTTTCCGTTTTGCATTCCCAGTGGCTCAGGGTATATGCATGGAACTAGCAGAAAAAAGTTGTATTTCAAAATATGATTATTATAAGTAATAGCATGGCTTTGAGGTCGATCAGCGTCCAGCGATTAAATTTCCCCGAAAGCCGGGGCAGGTTTACTATAGTAAAAGTCCCGAGGGCGAAGCCCCGTGTCTCTATGTTCACTAGATATAGCGATATTAAGAAATGCCTGCGTTATGTCTGTTAATATACCGATTTTATGAAGCCTAAATCTTAAGAGGATGTCAAAAATCTTCGCAATAAGATTGGGTCCTGAGTACAAGCAATCGTTTAGTGAGGGGCCATTAACCTTGCATGATGCATCGAAAACTGCACGTAATTTCGTAGTCTGTTTATCCTCACGCACAACGGGTCGGTGAGGAAGATAATGGGCCCCGCCCATCTCCTTAGCAATCTCATGTGAGGGAACGCGTTCAATTTTGTCGTTTTTCTCATACTCGCTAAAGATCTCATTATACGCCGTGAGAATCCCTTTAGAGGTTAACCTGGACTTCAGAGCTTTTAAGCGTCCTTTACAAACATTGAAGTTATCGGATAATGGTTCATGATCTTGCTTGAAAGGCAACTTAGTGACGTATCTGGTCCGTCATGCCCTATGTGATATATATATTGAATATTTAATTAGGCTGTAAGGTATAAATATGCATGCGTAATTAGCAGCAGTTGTTGGCTTGCCGGATGATGCTGTAAGATAGAGTAAAACAGAGAATAAAACATTTTTATGAAGACTAGATCAATCCGTATCAATCCGTATTAAGGACAAGGCATATACACTACAATTGGCGACGAGGATGAACGTTGAAGTATGAACTGTTATATTTTGTGAACATTTTGTCTTTAAAAGCAGTAAATGTCGATAAATGTTGAAATTGGCGGCATGCAAGCTTTTGATTGTAAGGGCGATATCACGAGTATATCTCCAAGGTGGAAAAGATGGCGAAAAGCTTTTCAGTTTTTTGTTGATGGGAAAGGAATTAAAGATGAAAAGCAAAAGAAGGCCTTACTTCTGCACTGTGCTGGTGTGGATGTTCAGGAGATTTTTGAAGCGTTAGACGTCTCCGAGGTCAGTAGCTGTAGCAAGATGGACGAGTACGAAGTCGCTTTGAAATTGTTGGACGATTATTTTTCACCAAAAGCAAATGTGTCGTATGAAAGGCATGTGTTCCGTCAGATGAAACAAGAAGAGGGAGAAACTGTTGACCAATTTGTGATCAGACTGAGGCATCAAGCTGAGAACTGTAGTTTTGGAGAACATTTCGGTGAGCAGATCCGAGACCAAGTAATTGATAAGTGTCGGTCATCTGGATTGAGAAGAAAACTGTTAGAAAAGAGTCAAGATTTGAGGCTGGAAGATGTACAACAAATCGCACGGGCGATGGAAGCGGTTAGCGTTCAGGCCAAGACTATGGAGTTTCCCACTACTGGGCAAGTGAATCGCATTCGCGAGAGGAAAAGATTTGGTATTCAAAATGGTAATACTTCGAAACCTAAGTCTAAGTGTTGTTTTCATTGTGGTCGCGAGGGACACTTTGCCCGTGATAAAAACTGTCCTGCTAAGTTAGCTACCTGCAGAAAGTGTCAGAGTGTTGGGCATTTTGCGGCAGTGTGTAGATCGAAGGGAGATTCGCAGTCGGGAATGAAAGACAGGAGGTTTGGAAAAGGTGGGAAAAACCCTGAAAATGTAAGTAACAGAGTGAATCATGTAGACTTTGAGGATGAGTACGCTTTTATGGTCCAAAAAAAAATGAGTCAAATGGAATTGGTTTGATTAACATTAATGTTGGGGGAGTTGACATTCGAAATGTTATGATTGACTCTGGGTCTACGTGTAATATCATAGATAAGAGTACTTGGGAAATGCTTAAAAAGAATGGGGTGAAATGTAAGTCCCAAAAGTCTGTGGGGAATATTTATGCATACGCGTCAGCCACACCACTTAAGACCCTTGGTAAATTTCAGTCAAAAGTTACTTATGGGAATTTAGTGACGGAAGCGGAGTTTTAGATGGGACAGGACGGCCTTTGATCGGATGTAGAAGTGCCAGAGAGCTTGGAGTGTTATTGCTTGGACCAGAAGTTAACAACTTGACGGAGTCTGACATTAAAGAAAGATTTTCAGGATGTTTTCACGGTGTTGGAAAGTTGAGAGATTTCCAGTTAAAGATCCATATCGATCCTGCTGTTAAACCTGTTGCTCAAAAGTCACGGAGGATTCCGTTTGGTTTGAGACAGAAAGTGGAAGACAAATTGACCGAGTTGTTGGAATGAGATATTATTGAAAGAGCGGAAGGGCCCACCTCTTGGGTAAGTCCAGTTTGCATTGTTCCTAAACCAAACGGTGAAATTAGATTATGTGTGGATATGAGACGGGCCAATGAGGCTATCCAGAGGGAGAGACACCCAATACCAACGATAGATGAGGTACTTTTAAACATGAACCAAAGTACCGTGTTTTCGAAGTTAGATTTAAAATGGGGGTTCCATCAAATTGAATTGGCTGAAGAATCAAGAGGGATTACGACCTTCACAACTCATTGTGGTCTATACCGTTATAAGCGCCTTATGTTTGGGATAACATCTGCCCCGGAGGTTTATCAACATATTATTCAGCAGATCCTACAGGGATGCGAGGGAGTTCAAAATATCGCGGACGATATTATTGTTCATGGTCCTACCGTTGAAGTGCATGATCGTAGATTGATTAGAGTCTTGGAAGTATTACAGGAGAGGGGTCTCACCCTTAATTCAGAAAAGTGCGAATTCCGAATACCCAAAATAACATTTATGGGACATTTTGTATCTGAGAAAGGAATTGGGCCCACTGAGGAGAAAGTCAGGGCTGTGGTGAATGCTAGGGAGCCGAAAACAGCCTCTGAAGTTCGGAGTTTTCTTGGTCTGGTAAATTTCTGTAGTCGGTTCATTCCAGATTTAGCTACAACGGCTGAACCCTTGCGGAAGTTAACCAGGACAACTACGCCTTTTGTTTGGGGAAATGAACAGGATAAGGCGTTTCAAGAGCTTAAGAATAAGATGTCTACTGCTGATTCTTTGGCTTATTTTGATAAGGATGCAGAAACGTTGATAATCTCAGATGCCAGTCCTGTGGGTCTGGGTGCAGTGCTTGTGCAAAAGCAACAAAATGTAATGAAAGTTGTGGCATATGCTAGTAGATGTCTTTCTGACGTGGAAAGGCGGTATTCTCAGACGGAGAAAGAAGCATTAAGTATAGTATGGGCTTGTGAGCGTTTTCATGTGTATTTGTATGGGATTCACTTTGAGGTTTTGACAGACCATAAACCATTAGAAGTGATTTATTCCAAAACCCATAGGCCCTCTGCACGAATCGAAAGGTGGGTTTTGAGATTGCAGAATTATGATTTTACTGTTAAGTATCTTCCGGGTCCAGAAAACATCGCGGACACGTTGTCTCGGTTGATTCCAGTAAACTGTAAGTCGGGCGTAAATGTAGCAGATGAGTATGTGACATTCATTGCAGAGAACGCAGTACCGAATGCCATGTCGATTCAAGAGATAGAAAAGGAGTCTGCGGTTGATCAGGTCTTATCCGTGGTCAGAGAAGCCATCCTAAGTGGGAATTTGAAGGAGCTGCCAAAAGAGTATCGAAATGTGGGAAATGAATTAACCGTTTTGGGGAAGTTAATTCTTAGAGGTTCCAGGTTGGTTATACCGAAAGTGTTGCGGGATCGGGTCTTAGATTTGGCACATGAAGGCCATCAGGGGATAGTTAAAACTAAGCAGAGGATCCGTTCTAAAGTTTGGTGGCCCAGAGTTGATTGCGAAGTAGAAAGGAGATGTAAGGTTTGCCATGGGTGCTAGTTGGTTTCACAGAGTCCATCTCCAGAACCTATGAAGAGAACGGTGTTGCCGAAAGCACCCTGGCTGGACGTTGCTGCTGATTTGTTGGGTCCATTACCAGGAGGAGAATATCTGTTTGTTGTAGTTGACTATTATAGTCGATACTTTGAAGTTGACATTTTGAAGTCTATTCTGTCTAGCAGCATTATAGATAGTCTTGATCGTATGTTTGCGATGCATGGGATTCCTGAATCCATGAAAACGGACAATGGCCCACAATTTGTTTCAGCACAATTCAAGGATTATATGAGAGCTAACAATGTCAAGCATGTTTTTCCCACTCCTTTGTGGCCCCAGGGAAATGGTGAGGTTGAGAGACAAAATCGTACACTTCTAAAGTCAATGAAGATTGCTTGTGCAACTGGGGGAGATTGGAAGAAAGAGCTGAATAAATTTTTGATGGCGTACCGTAGTACTCCACATACTGTCACAGGAGTAAGCCCAGCAAAGTTAATGTTTGGAAGAGAGATAAGAACTAAAGTTCCTTCTGTTATGCAGGAGTTCCAACCGAAGTTGAATGTCGAGCAAAGAGATGCGATGATGAAAGAAAAGGGGAAATTGTATGGAGACCGTAGACGACTAGCGGCAGATCGGAATATTGAGATTGGTGACACAGTCCTTGTGAAAAATTCGAAGCCGAAGAACAAGTTGTCACCAGCATTCGAAGATGCGTTGTATAAGGTAAAGGACAAGATCGGAAACGAAGTTACAGTTGAGTCGGAAAATGGAGTGACATATCGGAGAAATTCTGCGCATGTGAAAAGATATGAGAATGAGGAGCAAACTAGTCAAGATGAAGTAGCTGTTGAAGAAACCGATCAAGATGAAACAGTTGTTGAAGAAATCGAGTCCAGCGGTCGTGACTGTGAAGTTTCGCGTCAAAACGGACAGCTATCGCCTAGACCAAGAAGGCAGTGTCGGCCTCCTAAACGTTTTGGTGATTATTTACTATATAAGTAATTCGTAGTACTTTATAATACGTTATAGTACTTTATATATTTGGATATTGATCTAGGAAAAAAGTTAAAAAAAAAAAAAATTAACTGTTAGAGAATTATTTTGGAAAAGGAGGGATGTGATATATATATTGAATATTTAATTAGGCTGTAAGGT